GTAGCCCCCACTCACCACAACTAGAGAAAGCCCACGCACAGCAACAAAGATCCAATGCACCCAAAAAAAAGAAGAATACTTTTAGTTTTACAAGAGGAAAGGTTGTGGGGATGGATGGTGGTGATGGTTGCACAACTGTGTGAATGTATTTAATACCACTGAACTGTACACTTTAAAATGGTTAAGAAGGTACACAAAAATATACTCAAAATGGCTTAAAGCCTTAAATACAAGAAAAGACACCATAAAACTCCTAGAAGAGAACACAGGTAAAACGTTCTCTGACATAAATCGCAGCAATGTTTTCTTAGGTCAGTCTCCCAAGGCAAAAGAAGTAAAAGCAAAAGTAAACAAATGGAACCTAATCAAACTTATAAGCTTTTGCACAGCAAAGGAAACCATCATCAAAACAAAAAGACAACCTACAGACTGGGAGAGAATATCTGCAAACGATGCAACCAACAAGGGCTTAATTTCCAATATATACAAACAGCTCATACAGCTCAATATCAAAAAAACAAACAACAATCAAAAAATGGGCAGAAGACCTAAATAGACATTTCTCCAAAGAAGACATACAGATGGCCAACAGGCACATGAAAAGATGCTCAACACGGCTAATTTTTAGAGAAATGCAAATCAGAACTACAATGAGGTATTGCCTCACGCCAGTCAGAATGGCCATCATTAAAAAGTCTACAAATAACAAATGCTGCAGAGGGTGTGGAGAAAGGAAACCCTCCGACACTGTTGATGGGAATGTAAATTGGTGCAACCACTATGGAAAACAGTATGGAGGTTCCTTAAAAAACTAAAAATAGACAACCTAAGTGTCCATCAACAGATGAATGGATAAAGATGTGAGATATATATAGATATATATATAGATATATATAAAATATAAATATAAAAATACACACACACGACACTCAGCCATAAAAAAGAGTGAAATAATGCCATTTGCAGCATCATGGACAGACCTCGAGACAATCATACTAAGTGAAGTAGGACAGAGAAAGACAAAAATCATATGATATCACATATATGGAATCTAAAAGATGACACAAATGAACTTATTTACAAAACAGAAACAGACTCACAGACATAGAAACAAACTTATAGTTTCCAAAGGGGAAAGGGGAAAGGGGAAAGGGGAAAGGGGAAAGGGGGAAGCGGGAGGGATAAATTAGGAGAAAGGGGAAAGGAAAGGGGAAAGGGGGAGGGATAAATTAGGAGCTTGGGATTAACAGATACACACCACTATATATAAAATAAACAACAAGGGGACTTCCCTGGCGGTCCAGTGGTTAAGATTCTACGCTTCCACTGCAGGGGGTACAGGGTAAAACCCTGATAGACTAAGACCCCGCATGCCTCATGGCGTGGCCAAAAAAAATAATAAAGTAGATAAAATAACAAGGACCTACTGTATAGCACAGGGAACTATATTCAATATCTTATAATAACCTATTAATGAAAAAGAATCTGAAAGAGAACATATATATAACTGAATCACTTTGCTGTACACTTGAAACTAACACGTTATACATAAACTATACTTCAATAAAAAATAAAAATAAATTAAATGGTTAAGATGGCAAATTTTACATTATGTATCTTTTACCACAATTTAAAAAAAAAGGAAAAACGGGTTAACGCCCTACAGGGCCATAAAACTGTGACCTTTGGGTTTATCCTCTCTAAAAGGACAGAAATCACCTGTAACTAAATAGTCTTCTGCAAGGGAGCATGCAGCCTAGAGTCTAGGTCCTAAATGATCAAAAATAATGAGTCAAATAAAATTACCTTCTCCTGGAGTGTTGGTTGACCATAGGCAGGCTTGCATTATGCAGACCATTCTCTAGTGAGACTTTGAACACCTAAGTCATCTTTTGCCTCACTAGTAAAGATTTGATAAACAATACAGCTTTAGATGAGACACCAATGAAATCATGTTATTTTCTGAAAAACTAAGAGTAATTCATAGAATTAATTCATTTGCTTAATCATTTATTCAGCAAATACTTATTAAGCACCAACAATGTGGCCAGCCCTCTCCTAATTGTTGAGGATACAGCAGGAAAAAAATAAAAAAGACCAAGCTCCCACCCTCAGGGAACTTTCAGTCTACCTTGAATTCATGTTCAGTATAAAAGGATGGACAGTCATAAAACCATGATAAGGTATCATCAGACACCAGCCCATGAGCCCCTAGAACAGGGGGCTCCACCCACTGTTCTGCTGAGATGTGCATGAAGATGCACATTGGCCTGCGGGACACATTTCCAAGAAGTGGGTTCAATTCCTTGTTGTGCTGCATGCCACCCTTTTTTATCCTACACAAGGAAGGAAACAAGTGACACATTATTATAGGAATAACTCAGCTTTTTTTAAAGAAGTATAATTATCAAAAGGAAAATTAGGATGACCCTGGATGTTATGGTACATGCATACAATTAGAAATGGTTAAAAATTATAAAAAGAAAATAAAAGGAGGGACTTCCCTGGCAGTCCAGTGGTTAGGACTGCCAAGGGCCCAGGTTCAATCCCTGATCAGGGAACTAAGATCCCGCAAGACGCGTGGCGTAGCCAAAATAGGAAAAAAAAAAAAAAAAAAAAAGGAAATCTCAGGGAAGTGTAACCATTCTCGCCAGTGAATTCCATTTCTTCTTAACAACACTACTGTTACCATCCAGCTGTCCCCCCACTGCAGCAGGGGAATGGCTGTGGATTTAACTCCCCAGGTCGAGAGAGGCTAACCATGCTTAACTTTTATCACAGACTTATATTGCACACCTCTATTAAAGAGAGCAATGCAAGTGAAGACTGGCAGGAAGTGTCAAAAATTTGCAAGCAAGAACTCCATCAAGAGGCTCCTGGGAAGACAATTTGTCCGAATCTTTCAACCTTAAAATGTGCAGGATAACCTAGTGTAGTGGACCCTGTGATGTGCCACACAGATTCCCTCTTCAGGGCCAATGCACCCATCCCCCCATAGCTGTGCATCCTCAGCTGTGACCTTCACAGGGCATTGCCCCAGCCTCAAGGGGCTGCCTCCCCAGAGGCTCCACCCTCCCCAGCAATGACTTGCTGATGCAGGGAAATAGGAGGGGAAGAATGAGGTGGGGAACGGGCACATAGATAGCCTCAGTGGAATCTGTGATATTTAACTCCTTTAAAAAAACAAAAAAGGATCTGAAGTAAATACGGTATAATGTTAAGGTTTGATAAAGCAGAGGTTAAGACACATTCTTTATTTACTCTCTATCTTGCCTGTGTGTTTGACACACATCATAATTTTTTAAAGACCAATGAATATGGGGGATAAATGGGCATCTTTGTGCTTATTTAATTCCTTTTCCCATCTCCAGGCAGGAAAATTGTGTTTACTGAGCACCCCTATATGCCAGGCACCGTGCTAGGTGCTTTCCAAACTGAAATATGAATTAACTTACACGGTCGGCAGGACTTCGTTTTTTTCAAGGATCTTCCTAAAGATTACACATTAGCACCAGGTTCTATTCACAGTCACACAGGTCATCAGATTTCATTCTAATATCAGACCTGTGGCCTCCTTGGTACAACGTAAACCTGTTTCCTCAATGTGGTGTTCAAATCAAGCCACAGACTCTTTCGAGTCCTCGTGGAGGATTTAGGGGACCCCCCCCAGCTTACCTGAGCTCCCCAAGATGCACATGATCTGCCCACTCTCGACGTACAAGGAGACATCCTTGAGGATCTGCCTGGTCCACTTCTGTCGGCGAGACGTGATGTCCCACCAGGGCCCCACACAGTGGCTTTAAAGGAAACCCCGCGAGGGAAAGGCAGCATGGGGTTCTGGAAGGGTCCAGCCCCTTGTCCCCCAGCACCGATCCCAGCTCTGCCCAGCCTGAGTTGTCTCTGGACAGGTTCCTAAGTGTGTTTTAGCCTCAGTGTCCTCCTCTGTAGACCCTGGCAGGTAGTGACAGAAGATCATCTCTATAAAGCACCTGTCCAGCAGCTGCTCTGAATACCAGCTCTCTCTGGCTGGCTGGCAGATGGCAAACAGGACACTGTTTATTCCTTCAGTTGACCCTGCGTTCCTTCACCCGGTTTCATTACACCTCATGCTCCCAGCACCCCCATTCCCCAAGCGCTCGCCATCCAAATAGGGAAGGCCATCGACAAGGGAGACACGGGGGAAAGGGGCATAAAGCAGGGGAAGGGGGCAGAGCACAGCTGCTGCATCTGTTGTTTGGCATAGCTTCCAGTCCTGCTGTGGACAGAGGGGCCGTTCACCATGGCCCCTCACTTCCCTCTGGCAGCCCTTCCCCTCTCTTCTCTCTACCTCCACCCACTAGAGAAGGAGCCCAAGCCTCCATGCATGCCCCCCCTTAGTGAGGAAAGCCAGCAGAGGGCAGGGAGGCCCACTCACCTCAGGCCATGCCTGTCCCTGACCACAGCTCAAAGCTCCCAGCAGATGAAAGAGGCACTGGCCTTACCTGACACTGTAGGAGGCATGGAGAATGCCCAGGCTGTGTCGAGGCTTAGAAGCAGCTGCAGGAACCTCCTCTAGGGAGCATTGAGAGCTTCTGTTTACCTGGAGTTCCGAGGACCCCGCAGGGGTCAAAAAGTGGAGTTCACTCATGGCCAACGGGCCGCAGAGACAGGGGAATTTTCTCACCTGACCCTCCCTGGGGCGGCCTCAGCCGAGGAGCCAGAGGCAGACAGTCCCGCCTGCCCCTCACCTGGCCCTGGAGCCCCTCCTCAGGCCTTCCCAGTGGCGGGCCTGGGGTTTGGCCGTGGATGACATTATCTGATGTACCTTTAGCCAGAGTGTGTCTGCGTGTTATCTCGGCAGCGGGCAGAGCACACAGCCCGTGTTTGTGGTAGGGCTGGCCAGAGAGGAATGCTGGGAGCCAGACCAGAGGTTGCCTAGCTCTGGGAGACAGAGAACGTTGGCCCTGGCTGGCAGTGGTTAAGTCCAAAGGAAGCTGCAGAGACGGGTGCAGACGCCACTGGGCCCCATGGCTGAGGAGGCCCCACAGGAGACAGGGCTGGGGGGCAGGGCTGCTCCCCAGGATGACTTGGTGAGTGATGGGGAGTCACCACAGTCCTGGTGGGAGGGGGCGCATTGGACCTTTCTCTCCCTCAGGAACTTTCGGTCCTAACTCACCAGCAGGACCACAAGCAGAGTGAGGACGTGACAGCAGGACTCCACTTCCTGGGCATCAGAGGGCTGAGGGGAGCGGACTCAGGGGCCAGGGGTTGGTGGGGGGCCTCTGAGGTCATTTCTTGTCCTAAGACGTGCTCCTACAGGGAAATGATGTTCTTGTTTGCGACCTGAGCTGATCTGGCTTCTTTCCAAATGAGGCTCCATCACGGAAATGCGCTCACACCTCCCGGGGATATTGCAGTGTCTCCTCTGTCCGTGTGGCTGTCAAGCTCAGAGCCTCAGTGGCAGCAAACTGATGAGACAGGATGGCAGAGGACTCTGTGGGAACATCAGAATTTATGCTCCAAATACAGCAGGCGGTCATAAGATCCCGGAGAGAGCTGGAAGGAATACACGACACGAGGGGACCAAGAGGTACAGGGTCTCTGCCATCATTTTACATGAGAAATGTTTGCCTGAAAAATGGCCTTTGACTGAAATCAGGATGTGGGTGGGGTTTGAAGCAAGAAGTGAAATCAGAAGACAGAAAGGAAGCAGATGCCCACCCTCCACCCCCGCCTCATGCCACTGTCCCATCTGTCTTCTCTGGCTGTGAGTGGCCTGAGGGGTGGGGACAAAAGGACATGAAGGGCTGAGGGCTCCACACCACAGGAAGGGCCAGAGGCCACCTGGACTGGCCTTGAGTAGCTAGGACCTGACTTCAGCCAGGGCTCGGAACCCACCACTCCCAGTCAGCTCTGCAGCCAGAGCAGGTGACCAGCTGTGCTCTGGGAATACCCCACGGGGCCGACCCCTGCCGGGAAAGGATTCCTAGGAGCCATGACTGCAGTGCTTGCTCACAGCCTGAACAGGAGACAAAGTCCCCCGTGGCTTTGCGGACACTTTCTAGAAGGTCTGACAATTCAGCCACCACCGCTTGGGATGCAAAGAACTGCCTGAATCTGACATCCAGGAATGTGTGCAGGCCCTGCCATTTCCAGTTGCCTTTTCTCCACTCCCGTTATTCAAGGTGCCAAGCGACAGTTTGCCCCTAACATTTATGGAGCCTGGAACAAGAGGCTAAGAGCTATGTACCCTATGTCTAGATATTTAAAAGTTATCAGTCAAGTTAAAAGCTATTAAATAAAATTGTTTTTTTTGTTTTTTTTTTTTTGCGGTACGCGGGCCTCCCACTGCTGTGGCCTCTCCCACTGCGGAGCACAGGCTTCGGACACGCAGGCTCAGCGGCCATGGCTCACGGGCCCAGCCGCTCCGCGGCATGTGGGATCTTCCCAGACCGGGGCACGAACCCGTGTCCCCTGCATCGGCAGGCGGACTCTCAGCCACTGCGCCACCAGGGAAGCCCAATAAAATAGTTTTTATCCCCTTAGCTTGACATACCTTCTTCACAATGTGGAAGGCCAGGTGTAAATTGAAAAATTCTAGGATTTGTGGCTTCCAGCCCAAGCCACAGCCTGTCTCCCTTATCTGCCCACACCCAACGCCACACATGACCACACACACCCCTACGTGGTCGCCCCATCCTGTCCACCCACATTCCATCCATACCCTCCACAAACAAATGCCCCTCTGGCCTGGGGTTCCCAGGAGGATAGGCCTAGGATGAAGTTCATGCAGCCCTAGGAGTGGGCTTGTGGCCACCTGCACAGGGAATTCTGGGGTCGTGGGTACACAGAGTGGCAGGTGCCCTCAGCCCACAGGCTCCTTAGTCTGTGGGCAAAAGCCTGGCCAGAGGAGGACAAGAGGGACCCAGGCCTCAGTGTGGAGTCCTCAGCATGACACTACTTTCCCAGGGCACGGGCTCCTCATCTTGGGTTCTGCGCTCCCCAAGCTTCCTTCTCCTCTATGCTTCTGACTCAGGAATCTGATCAGAAGTTAATACAAGGAGAAATTACAATGTAGCCCAGCAGCAGCCGAGCTGGTTACCTACAAATAAACCTGCTTTTGCCTTTTTGGGTGTCACCTGTCAGAAATTCAAGTGATGTTCTGACAGTCATACTGATTAAGATGTCAGCCGAACAGATATTTAAGCATTTGAAAAATACAGAGAGTTTGTCAAAACCTCAGGAAGGCTCTAACAAATCCTTCCTGGGAGCCAAGGAAAATATTTCAAAATGGAACAGAGGTGGTCCCCAGCCTAGCCACGAATTCTCTTCTTCTGAAAGTTGAGCGGTCTACGCAGCTCTGGATGGCACAGGCCCTTGATGGTGGCTGGGGCCCCTGGCTGGCCTGCGCCTGCCAACTTAGCCCAGGAGCAGGGAGAATGCACCTCTCTCCTTCCTTTCATCTGTCTTCCCATCTGACACCTCTTTCCCCAGGGCCCCAGCACCCTCCACCTTCTCCAAGCTCCCACCTGGAGAGTGGAAGCCTCTAGGCTTAAGGTCACCTCCACACACTGCTCCAGACTCCAAAGTGTCCAGCCCTCCTTTCTCAGCAGCACCTCCACCTCCAAATCTAACCTGGGGAGATTCTGGCCTAGCTGTTTGTTGCAGAAGCAAATTCTGAGCTAACTCATACCTTCTACAATTGACTAATGTTCCTCCTGCAGGTATTTACCTTTTAAGAGCAAACAAGCAGGATGCATGTTAGCCCAAATGAGTCTCTCAGCAATGGACAGACTTTCTGATGGTTTAACCGAATACAACAGGAAAACTAGGCAGTGGGAATGCCGGTTGTGCAGGTGGTGACTGAGGGGCAGGGCTGCAGGGCTGACCCGCCAGAATCCAGAGCTCCCCATGACCTCCCCACCAGCTTCATTCTCCATCTCTGAGGGCGTGACTCTCTCGCCTCCTGCAGCTGGGGGTCGAGGTGAGAGCGGAACTCTGGACTTCTCCTCACGGACACGCTCTCTCAACTTGAAAACATATTTTGAAATATTTCAGACAAAGCAGTTTAAAGAATGGTGAACTAGGGCTTCCCTGGTGGCGCAGTGGTTGAGAGTCCGCCTGTCGATGCAGGGGACACGGGTTCGTGCCCGGGTCCAGGAGGATCCCACGTGCCGCGGAGCGGCTGGGCGCGTGAGCCGTGGCCGCTGAGCCTGCGTGTCCGGAGCCTGTGCTCCGCAACGGGAGAGGCCGCAACAGGGAGAGGCCCACGTACCACCAAAACAAACAAACAAAAACAAGAATGGTGAACTCCCATACCCATCACAAATTACCAATAGCTTTGAAGCCCATCCACTCCCCCTACCCACCAGGGACCTTTCCCTCCTGTAACCCTTCCTATACCCCAAAGACAGTCCTTCTGCTGACTTAGCTGTTGATCTTTCCTATGTTTTTCTATATAGTATAGGATCTTTACTGTACTAGTTTCAACATTAAACAAGGTAAGTAGCTATGGTCTGCTGTTTCCACACTCTCCCGGAACTCTGGGGGTACTCACAGTGAGCCTGCAGCAGACTGTCCCCCAGATTTACTTCCCTCCACTTCCATTGGTCTCCATGTCCTTTTTAAGGACCTTTTACCTCCAACATTGCAGGGATGCTTTGACAAAGACTGCTGGATGTTATTTTCACAGAAGTCACAAGCCATGTTGTTTCCACATAAAGCACACATGGACGCTGTGGAGACAGTGAAAATATAGCCTGATTGGGTGCTCAAGGTCAGCCTGCCTCTACGTCTGCCTGTCTTGCTCCATCCTCATCACCTGTCTCATCCACTGAAATCTAAGCTTCTCAAAGACTGTCCTTTTCACAGTCACACCCCAAACTCCAAGACTAAAGCATGATGTGGGCCCCCATAAGTATTTGTTGGATGCTTGATTGATTGACTGAAGGAACACATCAGTGGGGGAATGGCAGCTCTGAGGGGAGATCGGAATCAACAGGAACTTGTTATCAACAGGCACTTATTAATGAATGCCTACTTTCCCCTGCACTACTGCAATGAAAGAAAAATTGAATATGTTAAAAAAAAATAACAGAAATCTTATGAGGCAGGTTCTTCCTTGCTTGGGCCTCAGTGATTTAAATGATTGAATTGATAAAATAGAAGGAATTCAGATCTGCAGATGGTTAATATCATTCGAAGTTATCAGCTGATACCATGAAACATTGATTTGTTTGATGTACATTCAAATAAAGCAGCACTCCAAAAACAGCAACAAGATGGTGATGAGGAGGAGGAGGATGACAACGATGGTGATGATAGGGACTGCCTCTAAAATCTCCCAACAGCATTTTGAAGAGCTTTGTTGTGAAAAATCCTTACCAAGATAAGATGCAACTCCTCTAATGGTAGTGTCTTCACAAGTACTGAGCACTAGCTTGTTGACAGCTGTCTTCCTCTCACATGCTGGGTATGGAAAGTCTGTTTGGCATCAGGAGATACTAAGCCAGATGCAGGGAAGAGAAAGTTAAAGGCCAGCCCCCAGCTCAGGTCTTCTCTGAGCACAGAGGCTCACAAAGATCTCTCCAGTCCAGGGTCTGGGTCTATTCCAAGAGAGATCTGCGTTCAGCTTCCAGCAGCCTGTGGTTGAGCTTCTCTGGGGCCAGAGGCTGTGCTGGAGGGAAGCCCCAAAGCTCTCTCTGCAGGGAAGAGGAGCCCTGCCCTCATGGATGCTCCTGTTTTCTCAGAACCCTTGGGTTCCTCCTGCAAATCCATCTCTTTTCCACTCGGGATCTCACCCACGCTAGCTCCTGCTCTCACCTCTCTGGGTCTCCTCTCTCTGTTTTCTCCTATGTCCTCCTCCTTCTGAAGGAGCCCCTCACCTGCCACGTCTCCCAGCAGGGCCTCCAGGACAGCGTGTTCTCCTCTGAAGGTGACAACAGCCTGTATTTCACCTACAGTGGCCAGTCCAATACCTTGGAGGTCCGAGATCTCAGCTACCAGGTAGAGGCGCACCTGAGTGCAGGTGGGAGGAGCGGGCAGGGAGGGCCAAACAATTCCCCAAGTGGAAGGGAAGGGTGAACCCAGCTGGGGGCCCTCTGCCCTAAGGATGGCGTCCAGGCCACAGTGAGACCTCACGTTTTGGCTGCAAGCACCATGGAGACATCTGTCAACTACACATATAGGAGCTGGAGGTTGACAGGCATGAAAAAGAGAATGAGACCTTTGTTAAAACATAAAGCCAACCATGTGAACCCGTGGGAAAAAAATCTCTAAAACTCATTTTTAACTTTATATTTTGAAATAATTTTAGACTTTTGAAAAAGTTGCAAAAATAGTGCAGAGTTCCCATATACACTTTGCCCACCCTCCCCTAATTTTAACATCCTGCTTACCCATAGCACAGTGACCAAAACTAAGAAATTAACCATGATATAATACGATTAACCAAACTACAGACTTTATTCAGATCTCATCAGTTTTATACACATATATACACACATAGGTGTGTGTGTATATATATATATATTTTTTTTCTTTTTGTAAAATGTACTTCCCTGGAGCTAATAAAATATCAGGGTGCAAGGACTGCTGCCCTTTCAGAGGCTGTCAGGAATCTCCTGGTCAGATTCTAAGACCCCTATTTCCCACACCTCCCCAGGGCCAGATACCAGGTGGCCCAGGCAGAACATGCTGAGACCTGGGATGGTAAACCTCAGAGGCCCAAGTCTGGCTTCCTGGGGAAATGAGTTAGAACAAGCTGACAAGCCACACCATAAACTTTCTCTGCTCTGCCACTTACCAGCTGTGTGAACTTGAGCAAGTTGCTTCACTGCTCTGAGTCTCATCTGTAAACAGGGATTATAACAGTACATACGTTATAGTAGGTTTGCAATGAGGACTGAATGATAATGGATATAATAAGCAGATGAATACAATGCCTTGCACACAGTAAATGCTCCGTAAGTTATTAGTAAATTATTATTAAATAAAAACATTGTTTTGCTCCACGTTGTGTTTTTCTTTTAATTTTTTTATGTTGTGTTTTTTTTTTTTTTTTTTTTTTGCTGCATTGGGTCTTTGTTGCTGCACGCGGGCTTTCTCTAGTTGCGGCGATCGGGGGCTACTCTTTGTTGTGGTGCACGGGCTTCTCACTGCGGTGGCTTTTCTTGTTGCAGCGCATGGGCTCTAGGTGTGCGGGCTTCAGTAGTTGTGGCTTGCGGGCTCTAGAGTGCAGGCTCAGTAGTTGTGGCTCACGGGCTTTGCTGCGCCGTGGCATGTGGGATCTTCCCAGACCAGGGATCGAACCCATGTCCCCTGCATTGGCAGGAGGATTCTTAACCACTGGGCCACCAAGGAAGTCCCTCCATGTTTGCATTTATTTCTGTTCTGCTATTACACATGCTTCCCAAGTCTTCTCTTCAGACTTGGAAATGGCAGCTTCAGGTTCTCCCCCTGAGTGGGGGACCCCACAGTCCTGTTGTGGATCAGCAGGAGGATGTCTCCTGGAGGAAGCTGAATAGAAGTGAAGCTCTCTGAGGAACCTTTTCACATCTCCCCACAGGTGGACATAGCCTCCCAGGTGCCTTGGTTTAAGCAGCTGTCTCACTTCAGGATGCCCTGGACATCTCACAAGGCCTCTTGTGAGCTAGGCATTCAGAATCTGAGCTTCAAAGTGAGGAGTGGACAGATGCTGGCCGTCATAGGGAGCTCAGGTACCAATAAGGGCAAACAGCGGGGCAATGGGTTCTCTCTCTCCTGGGATGCAGAGTGGTCCCTCGAACAAACAGATGCTCTTTACAGAACGCTTTGCGGACCAGTAGAATAATATAGCAGAGTGACAAGGGCACAAGGTCTGGGTCTGACAGCTGGGTTCAAATCACAGCTCCTCCATTTACTAGCTCTCAGGCAGTCACTGCCCTTACGAATCATGAGTGGGCCTCTTACAGCTACAGCCAGAGTTTTGGTCCTTCATTAATATCAAGGTAAGGCCTTTCCAAGAGCATCATGCAGCTCTGGAATTGAATGTTCTTTCCAGGGGACTCCTCCACCACAGGAAGCACTCATTGATTGCTGCCCCTGAGTCAGATTCCTGTTTTGGTCAAACAGTGGGTAGGCACAGCCCCTGCCGCAATTCACTTCTCAGATACCCCAAGTCTTAGCTCAACCTTCAACCATCTGCAAAGATCCAGATTTTTGGAGTGCTTCAAAAAGTCACTTCTGGGCTTCCCTGGTGGCGCAGTGGTTGAGAGTCCGCCTGCCGATGCAGGGGACACGGGTTCGTGCCCTGGTCTGGGAAGATCCCACATGCCGCGGAGCGGCTGGGCCCGTGAGCCATGGCCACTGAGCCTGCGCATCCAGAGCCTGTGCTCCGCAACGGGAGAGGCCACAACAGTGAGAGGCCTGCGTA